CTATAGTAATTTATATATAGAACCGCGTCATGTTTCACTATGATCATTCTTCAGTTGACTGGAGAATCGTCAATTAATATTATAAGTTATGCAAGAGTTTGTAATTCTGTAATCTTTTACAAAACTGAGCTTTATTAAACAAAGTTTCTAGCATGATCTGCCTAAGTGAAAAAAAAAAACACATCTTATGATATTTTTTTGCAAAAATAAGTTAACTATACCATTATAGAAAACTATTATTCTTCTACTATAAAAATTTTTGTTAATACTTTTAAAATATTGTATACTACAGTATATAATTAAGCATAATTTAAATTAGAATTTGGATATTTGATTGTCGATCCTTGCCTCAAAGAATATGTTGATCTAACAAGTTTTACTAGTTATTGTTATTGTTACACTAAATTTTAAACGTATTTTCTCAAAAACCATAAGCCGTGTTTAATTGACCAATCCCCATATCAGATATACAGTATAACAAAATCGTCCATATGGGTATACACAATAACGTGACAATTGTAGTGTCACATGCTCTGTGTTACTGGGAGCTACTCTAGTCAATTTCGGTTGGTTCAATAAAAAAAAATTAAAATTTGCCCGCTAAACCCGGACGGTTTAAGGCATCTACTTAGCGTTAGTACGTGGGCTACCATTTTATTAGTAAAATTAATTTTGGGAGAAATTTATCAACTCCGGCCTATTCCGACCTAAATTTTGGTCGATCTGCTGAACTGATCTATCCTATTTTTTTGGCATGGCTAGTAATTTCGCGTGACGTTAGGATGGTTGCACCGATTTATTATGCGCCAATTTCTATACAAAGCGATATGAAGTTACATTTTTGATAGATCCATAATATGAACATCAAAAACGTAATTTTGAATTTTTCTGTCTTCGTTCCGGACTTATAACGCGAATTTCACCAATTTCACCCTCATGTGATTTTCCTAATGATATCGTAATATAATTTTCAACTTTAACGCTAGGTAAAACATTTTTTTATTAATAAAAAAAAATTATTATTTATAGTATTTCTATTTTTTATTTTTTGAAACCAAAAAGAGAAATTTTTTAAATTTTAAGTATAAGAATTTTTTTTTTTTTTTTTAAAGCATATACAATTCGCTTATATATAAAGTACGAAATAAATCAAATTATTTTATAGTACGTAATAATAATAACAAACTAGCAGTGCTTTGAAATGTATACTACATAACTATATACTGTAAAAACTACATGACTTGCTCATTGCAACAAAATTATCTTTTCTTTTTACAAAATAACATTTGTAATAAAAAAAAAAAAAAGAACGAGGGAAAAAAAAAAAATATAATACAAAAGAACATGAGGTAGTACAAAAACAGAACCAACCCACTAACCAAAAAAAGTCTATTTTACAAATCCCGTAACCCTACAGCTACAGCTTATCATATGAGTCTATAGTACGAAATTAATTAACTCGTACACCATTTATATATATCCCGTCATATTCAATCATTTGCAATACACCACCAGCAGCTTCAGTTGCTGATATTGAGTCAGGTAAATCCCAAGGATAAATGTTAACATAATCTTCCGGATCAGGATCCGGAAAGCTTGTATAAGTTAATGCACCATCATTGGCAGTTGTTTCAGAAGAGGACTTATTGCGTACTCTACGTAATAGAACGTTGGCTAAAGTTTGTTTAGTATAAGCAAAACTACCGCTTTTTGGACGAGAATCTCTTTTCTTTCTAGTTTTTTTGGGGATAGTAAGTGGAGGAGAAACATAAGAAAATTGACTAACAGAAGGAGGAGAAAGAGAAGGGGTAGTGACAATTTCCGGAGGTTTATCTTTTTTAAGAAAGCGAAAGATATTTTTAGGTAAAGATTTTGAACCAGCTCTAACGTTCTTTTTTTGAGTTTTTGTAGTTGAAGACGACGATTTTCCAATATTAGAGATTAATAATGGAGCACCACCAATGATTTTGGTTGATATAGGATTATTCTCTCCATTTAATCCATTTAATCCATTTATTCCAGTATTATCATCCAAGGTATTCTTATAATCGATTTGATTAATTGACTCCCAATTTTCCGAAATTGAACAAGTATCTTGAGCTTCATTCGATGATTTCGTTAAGTCAGAAACATTGCTTGTTCGGGTAACATTTAAAACATTTTGTGGAGGTAATTCAGATGAAAGTTTAGTAGGGGATGAAGAAAATTTATCCAAGGAATCAGATTGATTAATAAAATAATTATCAGTATTTAATGTTGATACCGATATCCTAGATTTTGTTGAAGAACTTGAAGAGGATCTGATAAATTTAGGAATTTTAGGAGCAACTTTCCAACTAAAACGTCTAGCCATATTTTGTTTAATTTCAGAAACGGGTTGATTTATACTGGATAAAACTGGAGGAGCCATATCTTTGTCAGAAAATTGAACACTATTACTTGAATTCTTCCTCGAGGGAGGGAATTGAGAAAACTTCAGACCACTTGTTGTATAAACACTAACAGGTGTAGAAACAACAGCTGTACTGTGAGAGTTATTACTGTTACGTCGCATTTCATGGGGTTTAAATATATGCACCTACGCAACACCTCAAAAAAAAAAAAAGGAATTCTTGAACTATCTAATCGAGGATAATATCTCGAAATAATAACTCGAAATAACAATGAAAAAAAGCTTAAAGGATTATTATACAATAAATTGATATTTAATTGTATACTCTAAGAAAATAATAATATTAATAATAATTCACAAAAAATAAAATGTTAAGAGTATTAGTAATAGAGAAAATAAAACG